AGATAGATAGATAGATAGATAGATAGATAGATAGATAGATAGATAGATAGATAGATAGATATCGAACATAAACTCCGAGTTGTTGAGTGTTTGGAGATTCCAGAAAAAGGCGGCTTGAAGGGGATTACATCTTATTCATTGTGTTCATTTCTCTGTAGGATTGAATTATTTGGCCGTAACAGACTTTTTTTTTGTTCTCCTTTATACTCATTCCTCATTCCAGATATGCATGATTTATTTCCACTTAGCCTCAGCTTAATGACATAAAATGAATAAGACCTATTCTTTAGTAAATATTGTTCAAGATGAAAAACAGTTGGATTAGAAGGATACTCAGAAACTAAAAATTGGATTATATAACAGACCATTGTTTTAGTTAACTACTAAAACAATGAAGAAATCATTACATCTGTGAAAAGTAAAACTTCCATGACTTTGAATACCTTTGTAAGAAACCTCCCAGAAAGGCTAATTTATTTATTGATTTCATTTCTGTGGCCACACATCTCAGTCAGTGACTATGGGTGGCTTGCAAGTCAAAAATATATTACAATTAAAATACTAAAAACATTTAAAAACACAATTGAAATGTCCAAAATAAATATACATAACAGCTGAAAAACTTGGCCAGTTAGCAATGCAGCCAGGAAATGGGGCCCTTAACACATTTAGCATCTCAGGCTTGGGAACATAGCCAAACTTATAGGTCTTTAAGAAAGGCTAACAGGATTAGGGCCATTATAATCTCAAAAGAAGGATGTTCCAAATAACATGGGGCCAATATGGAAAAAGGCCATCTTGTAGTCCCTGCCTGCTGACACTCTTTCACTGGTGGGATCTGCAGCATGCCCACTCTGCTAGATTGGGTTGGAATGAGACTTTTGGGAAAAGGCAGTCCCTCAGGTATCCCAGGTCTAAGCCACGTAGGGATTTAAGGATAAGGTAATTGCTCTCCCAAGAGATTAATTCAGTAATTAAGATTCTATCCCTATTCTGGAGACAAAAATGGAATTCCCTTCTTTTAGCATAGGGTCAATTTATCAGATGCTTTACAATACCAAACTAGGGGCTTTTCAAACTGGACTACTCACTCCAAGCTACTGTGGAATTAAAGAGAGAAGTGGACTGATTTTACCTGTTATATCACCTTAAAAAATCTTCCCAGAGCAATTGGGAACAAAAGTGGAAAAAATGGATTACTCACAAGATATACTGAACTTTACCATTGCAGAAAAAAAGATGTTTAACAACCTGAATTATATTACCTTCAAGCTGGAAATGAAGTTCAGCTGACACTTTACTACTTTTAAACCTATAGAACCCCAGTTATTCTTCCTGGTAGATTCTTGATTTCAGTGGTGGTTAACTTTTTCAGCACCGAGTGCCGAAACAGGAGTGTGCATATGTCGAAAAGGCACAGAGTGCCAAAACGTGTGTGTGTGCACCGGAAACTGGAAGAGAAGCTCCCCGGCATGCAAATGTGCATCGGCCACCTGGTCTTTCAGTTTCTAACGCACATGCACGCGTGAAGGCCAGCTAGCTGGTGCGCATGTACACGCCAGAACCCAAAAGAGCAACGGGTGATGGCTGGCATGCCCGGAGAGATGGCTCTGCATGCCACTGCCATAGGTTTGCCAAAACGGTTCTATTTCCACCAATATTCAAGGCTAACACTAAACAACCTATCATATTCATTCTCGGTTTTTCAATATAGGCATCCTTCGCAATTGGATGGAGAGGGACAATAAGGGAAAGTGATGAATCAGATCTAACAGACCCTTTTGTTTTAGTAGCATTATGATTTATCTATATGGAATCATTATAGATTTCTATTAATGTTGCCTGAAATATCCTTGTTTTTTCATCTTACATCTTTCTCTGAGAAACTAGTTTGAAAAGTTTCTGATTCACATGACAAGCACACATACAGGTAGTCCTTGACTTACAACCATTTGTTTAGTAATCATTTGAAGTTACAATGGTACTTAAAAAAATAACTTGATGGTTTTCACATCTATGACTATTGCAACATCGCCTTGGTCACATGATCAAAATTTGGGTACTTGACAATTGGCGTCTATTTATGACAGTTGCACTGTCCTGGGGTCATGTGATTACCATTTGTGACCTTCCCAATAAGCAAAATCAAAGGGGGAAGCCAGATTCACTTAACAACTGCATGATTGGCTTAACAACTGTGGCAAAACTTATCATAAAATGAGGCGCAACTCATTTAACTGCCTTGCTTAGAAACAGACATTTTGGACTCAATTATGGTGATAAGTTGAGGACTACCTGTAACTACTTGATAACAGCAAAACAAAAATATGTGTGCACAGCACACCAAGTTACTATGAGAATATTTTTTATAACGTTACAATATTACAAGACCAGTTTTTAACTTTCTTTAAAATGTACATATCTATAAACACATTTATTTTTAGCATTTTTGGTTTATGCTCTTCAGTTTACTCAAACATCCTGCACGAATTTAAATTCATAACTTAGAAATAAGAAGGACCCACAAAGGCAGACAGTATTTGCATTTATTAGCTCACAGTTGTCACCCTTACTTAAGAAGGTCCTTCATCAAGAAAAGATTGTCTTGAAATGATGTAGGGACTCCTGCTTCAGCAGGGGGTTAAGCTAGATTCTAGAAGACCTCCAAGATCCCTTCCAACTGTGTTATTCTGTTATCCTCAAGTCACCTCCTTAGACAATGGCAAAAAAGAATTCTATTCGTACCTCGTGCGTGCCTATTTGTGTGTATCCGCACGTGCGTTTTTACACGCCAGTCCTTCCGTTAGGGCATACAGAAAGCACCACCTCGGGCAAGAACTTTTCTTGTCTCGACGAGGCAACAATTTACTAATTACTTAGCTCGTTACACTTGCATTGTCCTACGAGGGAAGTGGAGGCGCTCGTGAGATTCCTGCCTCAGGGGAGAGGAGCACCTCAGGTGAGAGGAGCACCTTGACCGGGGTGGGGGTGGGAGGGGTCACTGCCGCTTATTAGCCAGCAAGTCCCGGGTCAGACGTTTCGACTTTCCAAACCGAAAGCCCGACCACGCCAGGGAGAAACACTGCAACCTCCCGAAAAGGACTACTACTTCTCGCGAAGAACCAGCGGGGGACGAGGTAAGGCAAAAGCCGGAGCGCCTCGGCGGACACTTTGGCGCGAATGTCTCCCGAACCCTTGTTATTCCCCGCCACAGACTCGGCTCATCCGCCCTCGCTCTCCCCCCCTCCCCCCTCTCTCTCTCGCCGGACGAGGCTGTTCGCTTCAAATGATTGGCTACCGAGGCCGGGAGCCAGGCAGGCGGGCAAGTCTCGACCGCAGCTTTTTGTTGCTGTTGTTGTTTTGCGCGCGCGGCGAGGGCTGGGAACGGAGCCAAGCAAGCTCTGCAGTTGGGAGTCCCGGCGGCTCGGAAGCCAGGATCTCTCCCCCCTCACCCCACCGCTCCTCGCCCTCCCAGTCCCAAATCCCAAGCAAGGATTGGCCACATTGGGATTGGAGGCGAGCAGGGAGGAGAGCTGGTCTGTCTCTTTCTTCCTCCCTCCCTCCCTCTCGCCGGCTCCTGAGGCTCGCGGTGGCGACTTCCCTGCTAGGCTCAGTTGGCCCGAAGCGGAGAAGGGTCAGGGGCCTTTCAAAAGCCTGACATTGCAACGGATGGGGGAGACTTTCAGGAGTGTGCGGATGAACTGTAGCTCTCCAGATGTTGCTAACGTTCAGCATTTGCCGTGCCGGCCGCGGGACCGATGCTGAGTGAGAGGCGCTGGCATTTCTCCTTGGTCAGAATGTGGTGAATCCCAGATTGCCCAGCTCTCTAAGGGAGGAAGCTAAAACGATTTGGTAGGTGGACTGATTCTGTTGGTAAAGGTGGGGGCGGAGTGGAGAAATTTAAGTTCGTTTAAACTTTTAACGGCACGTGTGCTGTCCCTGTACGGTACTTCCCTACGATCTTCAAAGCAGGGGGAAAAATAAAGTTGGGTGGAGACCCAAGACCTTTCTTCAAAGGATTGCGTGTGAGACACAGAGGGAGAGGGAGGGTTGTTTACCTTATCTTCTCTGTGCTGCTTTATGTAGCACTGTGGAAATGTTGGGGTGGAAAGCCTTTCTGTTTCAGTTCCATGAACGTGTAGTTTTATTGGCAACAATGCAGAAATAATTTGCCATTTCCTTGTAGGATTTTTAAAATTCTTAAACTACACCCTTGTATTTTCTTGATAGTCTCCCATCCAAATATTAATGAAGTTTGACCTTGCTTGGCTTTTTTGACATGAACCAAGCAAGTTCGTCTAGGTGCTGCCATCTGCTGTGACACAAGATGTAATAATGGGCACTAATTTAAATTATTTCAAGAAAGGATTAAACAAATTCATGAAGAAGAAGGATTCTACCTGTATATTCCAATTGCTGGAAAGCAGTAGTTGAGAAGGACTATTTGTGAACCAGATATATTGGATTGACCCTGTGTGAGGTAGAATGCTGGAGTAGACTTTTTATCTTGCACATCTTCCAAAGACCTTGTAACAGTATATTTCCAACTGGAAGGTTAGGCCGAGAAATATTTGAAGCCAACCCTCAAGTTCGTAGTTGAATGAGGGGGTTAACCTGAGTTTCTTATATTGAGAAATATTACTTGGTGTAATCAAGTCAAGACAATCCATTTTAAGTATGTTGAAGCAAGACATGTTTTGGTAAGATCAGCATAGCTTGATTTTGTGTGTAAACAACATAAAGTGAGGGGTTCATATTAGAGGAATTTGTGGAATACTGTTGTGAAATGAAGTTTGTACTCTTAGCTGTGATGAGAATGAAATGCAAGACTGAGGAAGAGGCTTTCTGATCAGTGGTGGGATTTATTTATTTTTTTACTACCCGTTCTGTGGGCGTGGCAGGGGAAGAATACTGTAAAATCTCCAGTCAGAGGTGATATTTGCCACTTCTCTGAACTACTCAAAATTTCAAATACTGGTTCTCCAGAACCGGTCAGAACCTGCTTCTGCATCCCTGTTTCTGATGTGGAATTGGAAAAAGGAAAGATGTCACAGCATGGCATGTCACAAGTCTTTGGAGAGCTTAAATTGGACAGGATGGGAAAAAAGGACATATTCTGAAGTACTGTATGGCTGAATCTGGACAAGACAATGTTAGCTGTGGAGGAATGAATGAATTGATTATATAGATCAGTAAACCACTGTTGACTATGTTGTTATGTGAATCCAGCTACCATGTAGTGTAATTAATATGCTAATTGCTGAGATCCTGTTTGGAGATATGAGATGGCTGTTGCTGGTGGATAATGAATGCCACCAATTCCAAACAGTTATTTTACTTTTACAATTGATATAATTGATGATTTATATGATATTAAAGTAGGAAATAATTAAAAATAAACATTTTAGAATGTCTATCAATTTTATTTAAAATCTATAAATTTCCACATATAGAGAACCTTAAGACAAGTAATATAGGACAAGGATTTGCTATGAGGAAAACTGGATTTCTCCTCTCCCCCCCTTTTTTATGAAGTATGTTTGCTGATAGATGGAGTGATATCATTTTGGTAAGAATATTAAGATGAATTGAGCTGGAGAGGTTCACAGTATATGTTAAGACAGAGAACAGTAATGACAGATGTACCGTATTGGGAAGGGAAAGAATTGGATTGATCTAGATCCTTTCAATCTAACTTAAAACTATCTCAGCTAATTTGCTGGATGATTTCTGCTGGGAAGAGGAAGGAGGAGTGTGGCCTTTTAATGATTAGTTCTGAGTTATTTTTGAAAATATTAACTGTAGTATCTTCCAGGAGTGACTCTAAGTGAGAATCTGTAGCACTGTAATAAAGAGATTACAGAGATTTAGTCTTTTCTGTCAGGCAGCTTCCAAAATAGCAGTAGAATACTGTTCCCCAGCTTGTGGCATTTAAGAATACTTCAGGGATCTGTCTGTTGGGAAAGTCAGTCAAAGATTGACTGACAATACCATCAATATTCTGATGACCATCTTTATATTCCCTCTGAATTGGCTAAGGCAGAGCAGGGATCCAGAAAGCATGTTGCAGTACTAATGATGAGACATTTCCAGGCTCATGGGTGAGAATATGTCTGCTCTGGATGATTTGCAGTGTCCCAGAAAAAAATAAAGAATTTATTGCCATCCAGCAGCCTGGTTTAAGGTGACCTGGACCCTGTTCAGTAGGGAGGGACTCCTAGAATATCTGTGGGCTGCTGTGAGGATTGTTCAGGCTTTCTAGTAAATGAAATGAAATTCACTTCAACTGGATACTGACTGGGCCAGCTGAGGGAAGCTGAGCAGCTGGGCAGACTGAGGTGCATGCAGCACAATCTGGAAGTATGATCTTGGATGAGTTTGAACTGCTGACTATTGAGGTTCTATAGGGTTCTCTGTGCTATCAGCTTGGCCACCTGTTTACTGAATCCAGACCTCTCTGGGTCATAAAGATGGCCATGGAGATGACCTGCCATTGGATCTATTCTATGGTATTGCCCTCTTTGTTGAAGGGAGTGTACCTCATGGCTTGAAAGCAGAAGTGATATGCCCCCTCCTTAAGAGGTTATCCAACAAATTTTCAACAAATTTCAAACGTTTGACCAGTTTACAACTTTCCCCCTGGAGAGGGCACTTATTGAGAAGATGGTCTGTCTTCAGCTGAAGAGAACCTTGGAGGAAATAGATAATCCAAACCTATTTCAATTGGGTTTCAGATCAGGAATTATTACAGAGACAAACTTGGTTTCACTTGTTGATATCCTGTAACAAAGTTAGGATGGAGGTGGTATATCCATCCTTGTGCTCTTGGACTTGTAAGTGACTTTCAATACTATTGATCACAGTTTCTTTTTGTACCAGTTCTGTGTTGGTTCTCTTCCTATCTCTGGAGCCAGTTCCAGTTGGTCTTGGTTTGAGGGATGAGATCACTTCCTAAGCTCCTTATGGGTAGACTGCCTCAGGGTTTTATTCTCTGCCCTCTCCTCCTTTTGTATGAAACCTTTGGGTGAGGTCAGCTGTTGGTTTGGAATCATCAGTACACTGATAATACCTCACTATATACAGTATTTCAACCATGGGCTGGCCAAATGAGGCTGTCATAGTTCTGTTCCAGTGCCTGAAGGCTGTGAGTTTTGGATGAGGAGGTACTGTCTCCAACTGAATCCTAGCAAGACCAGGTGTTTGTAGGTGTTGGACCACCTAGATCTGGGGTTATTCCATTTGCACAATAGGTTGTACTTTCCCATTTAAGAACAGTGCAAAATCTGGGGGCTGGCCTGGACTGATATTTTACACAATGAGCAGGTGGCTAGGAAGGCCTTTATACAACTTAATCTGATGTATCGCTTGTACCATTTCTTAGATTGGAGACTTTTCAGACAGTTACTCTCGCTCTAGTCACCTCATGGCTTGATTACTACAATGCATTCTGCATAGGGCTGTTCTTGAAAAACACTCAGAGGCTTCAACTGGTCCAGATCACAGTAGAACATTGATATGCCTATAACACCCCTGTTTTGTGACCCATATTGGTTGCCAGTTGGTTTCTGAGTATGATTAAAGGTACTGGTCATACTTTTTAAAGTCCTGCATGGCACAGGGCCTGGTTATTTGCGGGACCACTGTCTCCCATCATACTGCTGGCCAGTTCAGTTGAGTAGGATTGGCATGCTTCAAGTACCTTTGATTAGCAGTGTCATCTATAAGGATTTCTTCTTTGTAGCAATGCTTACCCTGTGAAGCAAGGCTACCCTGATGTCCAGATAGCCCCTGCTCTTCTGGTGTTTAGAAGGATTGTGAAGATCTTTTTTTTTTTTAACCCAGGCCTTTGGCAAGGGAGAGTGAGATTTTGCTTTGTTCCTGTTCAGTCTGTTCTTCTTGCTTTCCTTTATCTTTCCCTCCTCTTCTTTTTAATTGTAATTTCCTTGTCTTGGTTGTTGTAAGCTTCCCAGAGTCATTGGGAGTCGGGCAGCATAGAAATTTGATAAATACATATATACTCAGTCCTGTTTGGTTATGGAGCACTCTTGGGGATTTAGCTGCGAATAATGTATTTATTATATTATTATGCATTCTGGAATGGTTTGGAGGCTTCAGCTAGTACAGAACGCCTGGTTATGGTTTGGTACTCCATAGTCAAAATCACATTCTCAGTGATCTGCCTCTGATGTCTATTTTGGAACTTACTGCAAAATACTGATGCTAATATGTAATGCCTTAAAAGCATCAGATCTAGGCTGGATTTTTTTTTCCCAATATATTCTGCAATGAAGGTTATGGTATTGGTGTGGAAGAAACAAAAATCCCGGTGTTGGGTTTAGCTGATGCCAGGAAGATGAGGGGCCTATTTGGTGATGGCGCCATCATTGATGCTCAAGGTCTCTGTCGAACTCCTCCTGCTTCGACCCTCAATATGACTTTTAGTTTATTTCAAAGTCTGCACCTCATTATCCAGATTATTATATTTTTGGCCTGTGATGCCTTTGCTCCTGACTATTTTGCATTGTGTTTTTATTGTGACAAGCTCTTCTCAATGTTTAGGTGATAGTCATCTAAATATAAATCATGTTCATTGGTCATGTCTACTCTTCCACAGGGCTAGAATTCTCTCTCTGGACAGAATGAATCATCTTGGGGTGTGAAGCTTCTAAACCAGGGAGGAGGTGGAGTCTAGTGGTTTTATTATTTTTTTATCGAAGCTTGTTGTGGGGAGGGGGACGACGAATAACAAATATTGCGGGGTGCGGCTGCATCTCGGCTTTTGTCAAGCGAAAACGTATTTCTCTACGGAAACGGGTTGCCAGTTGCTAGACTCTCGGATTCTTCTTCGCTGTTGCTGGCATGTTTTAAGAAGAGAACTGAAAAGGTGGGCGTCCGTAGAGAACGCAAAGCAGAGCTCAGCGTGGCTGCTGCAAGTCAGCAGCCTTTCTCGATCTCGACTGCCGTCGTCACCGCGGCGGCTTCAGGAAGCTCCTGAGGACAGAAGGAGGGAAGGAGCAGGGCGGGCCGCCGCGCGGCTCGGCGCAGGGGTTGTGGCAGGCCGCGCGCGTGTGTGTATGTGTGCGCTCCCGCCCCCGCCCCCCCCAGCATATAAATGTAAACAGTGCCCTCGCGCTGTGGGCGGAGCCGGGCTGCCTCTAACGCGCCCGGATTGGCCCTGCTGCCTTATTTTTTATTTTTTTTATTGGCGACGGGGAGGGCTTTCTCTCCCTTTCCCCCAGAGAGGCAGTCAGAGCGCGGGGATCTCGCTTGGGTTGGCTGCTGTTCGGTCCGCGCGGCCAGACGCCAGCAATCTCCGAAACGCGCGCGAGCTTGTCGCTCACCAGCCGCCCTCGGCGCCCAGGGAAGCGTCCGGCTTGCCTCTGTGATGATTCAGAAACCCTGACGCGTAAGTACGGCCGGCGGGCGGGCGGGCGGTGGGCGGGCTTGGGGGCCGGGGGTATCTTGGTGTGCGCCCGTGTCTCCACCCTCTCCTCTTGCTATCCCCTCCCCCTTTGCGTGTCTCTTTCTGGCTCTGTTATTCTCCTGCCTTGCACTCGCGCTCCCTTTGTTGGGTTTTCGGTGGGAAGCGACCTGTCTCTCGCGACTCCGACCGCAGCTCTCCCCCGGTGTCGTTCAGCAGCGAGGGAGGGGCTTTCCCGAGGCGACTGGGGTGACTTGGCCTTGGATTTCTTTTCAAGTCTCGGCGCGGGGCTGTTTCCACCCCCCCACCCCACCCCACACTCGCCACTTCCCGCACCATCACCTTTTTTGTTCCCTGGTTGCGATGGTTCCCCAACTTAGTGGTGGATGCTTGGCTTGCGCCGGCCTCTCCTACAACCTGTTGTTGTCGCTTTGCGGGAGCGCCTAATCCAGTCGCGGGACACGGGCGTTTGAACGAAAGTAAATAAAAGGTGAGTTGGAGCGCGGTAGGTGGGTGGGAGGCAGGCTACGACCCTTGCCTTGGGGCTGGGGTGGGGGGGAACCTGTCGCGCTTCGTTTCTCGCTCGTGCCTTTTCTGCTCTGGATTTCGCCGCCGCTTGAACGACAAGCTCATTAAAGAGTGTGGGTTTTCTAAAGGTGCCAAGTGAGATGTTTTCCTCCCCGCGTGTAGCGCGTAGAGAAGGATTTGATCGCAGCCCTAGAAGGATGAGGGGAGGTGGAGTGAGCAGAGGAGCACTTTGCAGTGTACAAAACTATTGTGACGCACTTTTACAACTGATTGCTCTTGCCAAACCTTCCAGACTTGCTGTGATCAGCATATTCGATAGAACAATGGAGCGAGAGCCTGGCCGACTTCCCCGTCCTGCACAATCACCGCATCTACTTCTAACATTTCAACACTGTATCTGATCCTCCTGTATAGAACTTGGAGGGCTGGAGTGTGCGGATCCTGAGTTTAAATATTTCACCATAACCTCCTTTTTTAGAAAAAAGAAAAAAGAAAGTCAGTTGGTTCCTTTGCCCTCCCAAAAGATCAGACCTGGAATATTGCTTAGTTGGCTCCCAGGTTTTGTCCTAGAAAACTTTTCTTACTGTTTTCTTTTCAATAAGCCTTTTTACCTCCTGAGAGATATTGGATTGGATATACACTTTTATTCCTTATTAGTCTTTTAAAGTTTGACACGCAAGAAATCAAGATTAATTAATAGATTTGAAATCCTGTGGTGAATGTAAAATGTCATGGAATTTGCATTGCTAATATGTTGGTAGTGATTTCTATCCACTGCAAGTCATCACTGTTATCAAGTTTGAATGAACTTTGTGTAATTTGAGATGTTTTTCTCTTCTCCCCCCCCCTTTTTTTTTCTTCCAGGGTTGGGGGAAAAAGAAAGACCAAATGGCAAAACAATCTTCTGATTTAAATTCTGAGTGTGAGAGAGAAGGTGGACAATTGCAGCCTGCTGAAAGGCCAGCTCAGCCTCATCACCTTCGGCCTGGGGCCCCTACCTCCTTACAAACTGAATATCAAGGTAATCATTTGGGTGAACGGGACAGTTCATCACCCGGTAGCCCTCAGGGACCACTGGCACCACCCTCCAGTCCCAGTCCATTTGCAACCAGATCCCCGTTGTTCATGTTTGTAAGAAGATCCCCACTGCTGTCCAGATCCTCCAGTGGGTATTTCTCTTTTGACATCGACAGGAGTCCTGCACCTATGAATTGTGACAAAGCAACACAGACTCCAAGTCCTCCGTGTCAAGCTATCAATCATTATCTAAGTGCAATGGGTAAGCAAGAGCATGGTAAGAAACTTTTACACTCATCTTTGAAATATAGTCAACACTTCCTATTCCCCTTTGAAGCTGTGTTTGTGGTTTGAAGTTTAGGTTTAAGAAATAATTTGCCTTATGTAGTACTAGAACTCCAGTTCAAGGTGAGCTATACTGATTAAAATGTTGGAAAGAGGAGATCCAGGTTTAAACCACAGTATTCAAACTCATTGGGTGATCCTGATTTTATCATTTTCTTTCAGGTTAAGCTTACTTTATAGGCATAAGAATAGGGGAATTTAAAAAAGAGAGAACATGAAGCTTTTTGAAGGAAAGGTGGATAGAAATGTAATGTTAGCATTTGAAAGTTTTGCAGCTAACCCTCATAATGATGACTAAGGATAAGAGCACTGACTAATGTATGGAGTTCTTTATAAAAGTCACCAGATAAAATGAAATATTTTGACAAAATGAAATTAGAATGAAAATAAACATATATTTTCATAAGGATAACTTTTTGTAATATAGAAGAAAAATGAGAAAATCCAAATGAACCAGAAATTGGTGTATAGCTTGTTGAAAATACAATAGTGTCCTTTTGTTTGGAAAGTGTTTTAAATGTTTGTGGCTTTGGAAGAAGTAAGATCTAAATTGTATTACTGCATGTAAATGTCATTTTCAATGAGAGTGTTTGAAAATGACATAGTAGAATGGAGATGATGGTCAAGGATTAGGACCAGAGTATACTCAGAAGTTGATTTTAAACCTTTATTCTTTTATTACCAGTGAAGATCACAGTCTCACAGTTATTATCCCCAGGATGGGAGTTTCCATTGATGTCCAAAACCACTTCCATCTAAGTGCATATAGTGTTGAGTGTCAATGCTATTATCCAGAGTAGGCCTTCTGTGCATCTTCATTCCCTTACTGAAAATTGGAAGAAATGGGAAGCAATGTGTTTATGGTCCCTATAGTTTGGCCTTAGATGAGGATTGTAACCAAAATGTCCAATGAGCTTCTTGGTCCTTTCTTTGCATCATTTAGAAACATAGGAGGATATCTCTGCCTTACTCCGTGTAGAGATTTTGAATTCCACTCATCCCACTTTATACCATGCTTATCCAATGGATTTGTGCTAGTTAAAATGGGCTTTATTCAGCTTCTGAATGAATAATTGGTTTTCAGAACATTTTTGCATAATTTGAGTAGAGGTGTGTGGTGTAGCAGCTCTAAATTTTCTTTTAGTATAATGGAGGTTTTTTTTTAAAGTATGTAGTGATCAAGAGCTCTGTACTTCTTTTTCCTGAAAAAAAATAGTGAATGTGTACTTTCAGATAACTACAATATACAGTTTTTGTACAAAATACAGAATGGGATGCTGAATCATAGTTGCTTTGAACTGCACCAATCTTCCTCTCCCTTTGAAATAAATAAATTGGTTATATATCTTTTTGAAAATGAAAATGTTTAATTTTGTTTGCTAAATATCTTTATGTCATGTAATAACCTCCCATAAGACACACAAACTCTTCTAGGAAAAAGAGCATGTTTGTTATGATGTCTAGTCCAAAAGTCTTTTAAGAAGAGGCCTTGCCTAATGAAAAAATAAAAGGTTAACACTAATTAGGTGTTTTGCAAATTGATTCAAGTATAATCCTACTTGATTCCCATTTGGGGTATATATGCATGAGGTGTTGTAGCGCATCCTGTTCCCTGTGCTTCAGCATAGCTGATTTCCTGCTTTGAGTGCAGTGTTTATATAGCACTAAACTAGGAGTAAGAGAAGCTACTTTGCACAGATATGCACTTAAGCCAGTATACTCCCGAGAGCATATATCCTTTTTAAAGTGGCTTAGGCATCTTCGCCTTATATTGCAGGCATGTTTACCTTCCACTTTTTACCATGGAAACTGAAGGTACTTCCTGAAAATTCCACCAATCAGAATCTAGAGAAGAAGAAAAAAAAATCCCTTGGTTTTTAAAATAGATTCTGTTGGGGCTTAATTTGCCTGGCATAGCTGAAAGAATAGAATATTGAATGCATCTCAGGAAATTGTACAGCTGATTGATTAGGTGGTAGATGGTGATAATTGTGTGTGTGTATACACATATGTACACACAATATATATATATATATAAACTGTAAAATGGGTGATTTTTTTTCTATTGAAGATAACAAGTAGTGCGAGCAGTTGTTACCTTTAATTATAGAGGTTTTGTAGCATTTTTTAAAATACTGCTTTTTCTGGTGAGGAAGTGCAGTAATAGGGAAAATTACCCTAACTGAATCTCTGCCTACAGCTGTTAAAACAGAGGAGCTTTGTTTGGGGAGAGATGGCAACAGTAGTAAAGAATGAAGTTAACAAGTAGAAAAGGGGCATTGCATGTTATTGGAGGTCAAATATGTACATTACTGAGTATTTTCAGCAGCCTGCCTGTATTGAATTGGTTAAGCCAGTGGTTCTACTAGAAATGATTGTTTTATTTCATTTGTTGCCCTGTTCCTAGCAGTTGGGACTTTATATAATATGTGACAGTAACAAAAGAAAATATAATTTATCATCTTAAATTCTGCTATTAATTGAAATTATATAAAGAAGTATTTGTGTAGAAAAAAGATTCATCCAACCTCTCAAGGAGAAAAATCCAATTTTAGAGCAGCTGTCATTGATGCTATGTTATCTTCTTCGTTGCTTAAATGATATAGCTATTCTTCAGTTTTGTTCAGGTACATAAAAAGGTACCATATAGAAGCTGGTCAGGAATTAGTTTTCATTCCCACAGAAACTAGATCCAGAAGTAATGGGCATAAATTGTACATATTTAGCTTTATTTTAATATAAAGTAAAAGCTTTCTGATGGTGAAATAGTATAAATGTGGAATAGTTACTTTGGAGAGCCAGTTTATTCTGGCGATTAAGGCACCAGGCTAGAAATCAGGCAGCTGTGAATTCTAGTTCCGCCTTTGGTGTGAAAGCTATTTGGGTGATTTGGGATCACTCTATGTTTGCCTCAGGTGACAAGCTGGTCTGTCACTTCCTTTCTCAGTTGATTGATCAGCACTCAATTATTCTGAAAAAAAGTGGACCCTGCCAAGAACAAAGAAGTAGTTTACTTATGGTGTTGTGGGTTCTTCATCTCTGGATGAACCACTCTCATGGACAGTCTAATTGGTTTTCCACAACGTTAGGGAGTGTTCAACCACATGAACTTTTTGAACTCCATAGTTCTATGATTGTACTGTGCAGATGGGCTCAGATTTTGTTTAATGAAAAATGATCTTAAATATTGTACAGATGCTAGGATTGTTAAGTTCAATAAGATGTATGCTGTGGACAGTACACATAGGATTTTTAAGGATGTAAGAGTTTATTTTCTAAGTTGAAGAGTTTGATATTCTTGATAAATTAAGTTTCTACAGAACATAAACAGTTTCAGATAATTATTTGGGAGACATAAGGACTTCCGTGATGACAAGCCCACCTTCTGCAGATATTCTAGAAATAGTGTAGGAGAACAAAAATTAGTGTATGTTGAAGTTCAGAAGACCAGGAAAATGGCTTTCTATCAATATACGATTTATAGAGTATGTAAGACATAGTGTGGATGGGTCCTGGCAATCAACAATTATTCTTCAGATAGATGTTTTAGTTTATGAATTTCTTTAAAAATGAATATAGGCAAATGAGTTTTGAAAACATTAATTGAAAACTAATGGCATCTTTTTATGAAATTCAAAAACTAACTCTAAATAATTTCAAATCAATGATTATTATAAGCTGTGCAAACTCACTAGTGATTTGTGAAGATTGTCAAGTCTTACAGTGTGGTTTTTAAAAACTTCAAAGGAGATAGCTTAGAAGTACAAAATGACAGATTTGATCTTGTCCTAGCTTTTATATGTACCTGTAGTTTTATTACTAGGAGCCAGTTCTTAGGATCTTTTTCTGCCTTTAAATCTACAACTTGATTTTTTGTTTTTTTAATGTAAAGTTTTTTTAAAAAGTTATCTGCTAAAAAATTTTAACAAATGACTTTTGATACCTTAAACACGGTTTATTATTTGATAGGTAACTATGTATGACAAATTATGCAGAATAAACCATTTAGAATTAACTAGTCAAGTTAAGTGCACATCTATCACTTAAGTAACAGGGATTATGAATTTAATTATGTTCATTTATGATGAGTTTAAAATTTTTATTCTTGTGTCATTTGTTTTAAAAGTTCTGAATATCAATATTTTTTTTGCAACTTCAAGCAAAGTTTACATGTGAGTTTAAAATGATGAAGGTGGAGGTTTATTTGCACTGTGCAATTTATGTAATCTTTTCTTCATATTTCAGGTAAAACTGATTCTGTGTTTGAAATGTTTTAAATATAAACATATTGCTTTCCTATTTTCAATAGGAAATAGTGCTTCAAATGATGATACTAATTGAGATACAAATATACTATGAATCAATTGAATATTGAAAAGTCATTTGAAATGACACAAGAAAGAATTAAGTAATTACACTAAACTACACAATTATGCTGAAGGTGTAATTAATTGAGACAAAAAGGAAGTTTGTTTTTTATATTGCTGCCCATTTAGTTTGTTTTCTGAGATTATTGCAAGTTTAACAAGCTCACTAAAAAGAATGCCTACTTTCACAGAAGGAGCAATCAAGATGACATCAAGATGACATACTGTTTATGCCAAATTATATTGATCACTTTGTACGTGATGAACAAGGGAAAAGATATTTTGTTTTTAAAAACACAGCTATGAGATGCACACTATATGTTCTTATTTCTGTAGATTGCCTAAATAATACCTGGTGAACACAGATTATATTCTTTAAAAAATTGGCACTAAACTTTTTATTATACAAGGGCTATGAAAAACATGAATGATATTATATTCTTTTATGTATTTATTCAGGATTCTGTTCTGTGAACATCCTTGATCAACAGCTGAACTATTGGCATAGATTTCAAGTTGGTGAAAAATTTACACCTAAATGGTTTTTGCATTATAGATAATCCTT